CCTCGCTATCTTGATGCACCTAAGGGCCCTGCAATGGTAGCCGAAACACGCAGCCGCTGGTCAACTGAGATCAAACCACCAATTGTTGACTCTGTGGTGATCTCTTTATTCGCAACAATATTCTCTCCCTTGCAGCATCGGCTCACTCCCTCTAAACTTCCTTTAACTGTCCTCTTCGTACAATCCTCCTTTTCCCTATCAAAACGCATTGTTGGTATGGACAGGGCAGGAGTGTTACTACGCACAACCACAACCGCAGTCAGCGGGACTCGAACAGAGTCCAACTTCTACCACGCCCCTGTCTGGTGTAAAAAGATCGGGTGAACCTTCCGCCAATGCATAGCCAAATGCCCTTCTTGCCCTCTCTCTTTAGTCCACCACTCTCTCTCTTCCTGTGCGTGGTCAGTCCATCGTACAAAAAACGACTCACTCAGACCTTCACTACTCCTTGTTATTCCTTGCTAACGTGCAGTCTAGCATCGCAGCTCGGCTTTCGGAACATCTGCTCTGTCTACAATGAGCCCGACCTCTCCTTCCCAAGCCTTGCATGCACCTTGCCGACCTACCGACCGGGTCCATAACAGTACTTAGCAGGACCTCGGCAATCACAACCACGAGCAAAAACAAGTTGGGCCGAGTTAAGACTCGTGTACTGTACAGACGGCCGCACGTATTGGGCTACACAACCAGGTAGGTCCCGCCTTCTCTCCCTCTCGACATCCCTTCTCATTCTCACCAGCTCACATGTACCCATTTGAGGTAAGGCAAATCCCTCGCCCGACGACGTTTGGACACATCAGCATGCTAAAATTGGGGCATGAGGCCAGACAGTTGGACCTCGGTGGCGTCCGTGATAACGAGGAGGACTACCACTATGACAAGCACAAACGTACAGACAACCTTGATGTTGAAGAAAATGAAGTCGACATTGACTCACTACTCACTGATAATGCAAATTGAGACTGAATCTTCTACTGGAACGTGGAGGGATAGACTGATAAACAAACCCACCAAATTCAGTGCGCAAGGCTGCGATTGAAACGGACAAACATACAGGATTACAAAGGGGAGGAATCATAACTTTGAAGAGGACCGTACACCTCTCCAACGGGGATAGCGACCTGAATCAGGGAAAACGGAGGCTCAAAACGCGAAGGTGGTGGTAGATGCGAACACACTCCGAATCGAAACTGGCAACTCACTATCATAATGCCTATCAGATACGTTCTTCCTACCACGAGTTGGCTCACACCCATTCTCCTTCATCAGACCATGGTTGATCTGCAACATACTTTGAGGTAAGTACCTCGATCATTTCTCTCTCAGTGTGCGCGCGCTTGCTCACCTGCCCTATGCCTTGCTTACGTCGCTCGATGTGGCTTTCTTCATATACCCCGGGCCGAATCCCGGCTACGTTCACACGCTCCCATCAGAAAACAATGGAACTCAAAAGGAAGAAGATGACATGAGTTTTACCATCATGGCGAAATCAACTTCTCCGCGACATCACCCTGATCTCACACCGCCAGGGTTCTCAACCCTTCTACTCATCCGCCACTCAGATTGAGGTAAAAAACTACTGCAATAGCTCATACTTTATACCCTATGAATCCTACAGTGGCGCTCTAGGCTCGTTAAGCCACTACAAGGTCGAGTCTACGGTTTTAAATCATCAGAAAACAATGAAACTCAAAATGAAGAAGATGACATGAGTTTTACCATCATGGCGAAATCAACTTCTCCACGACATCACCCTGATCTCACACCGCCAGAGTTCTCAACCCTTCTATTCATCACCGACTCAAAAAAATCTTACTTCTTTGTCCGTCTTGACTCGGTATATGCCGAGTTCAAACAGACAAAAAAAACATCCACTGTAGATTTAATTTTAAGTTGCAAAGAACGCGCCGTCTTTGTCGTTCAGGTAAAGGACTCGTTTCCTTGTACTGACTGTACTCGGACTTGAAAAGGCTATGAGTGCATTAACTTCCAGAATGGACGAATCATGCCGCCTCAAGCATTTCTTGCCAGAAGATTGATTTGGTCTTGCGTTGCATCCACTGAAGTCCTGCAATTACCGACTTCCTTGGGTAATTGCTCTTCTTAAGTTCTTCGCACAACGTGAGGATGTTACAACACATAAGTCCATTCGTATTTGAGTTTTGCGCAATGTGCAGGATCGTGTTCGCAAGAACGACCAATTTGCTCGTACGGGGCCCATATGAAGAGAAGTCTTTGTACGTCCGAAATTGGAGTGGCGTGCTGTCTCATATTGTCCCCGCGTTTTTAAACTTATGGAAAATCAGCACAGTCTTCGCCCCACATACCAACAGTCTGGTTTCAAGGAAGTCCAAAACGTCGCTACCCAAGTCCATACATTCGAGTATCAGTCCCTCTGGATAGGAGAGCGTCACCTTATCGAGTAACTTTTCAATTCTAGGCTGCTCATCCTTTCGAAATAGTGCGATAACCAATAAATCGTCAATGTATCTTTTTCCCATAACTATTCTTTGGTCTGCATCCAGAGACCTCAAAAACTGGTTCTCAGCTAACATGCACATCACACATGCTAACGGTGGACTTACCCTGCCCCCCGTGGGAATTCCCTTCTTCCGACGTAGCACAATATTGGCTTCGCAAAAGTAGATGTTGTTTAGTTGAAATTCGGTTAGCGTGACCAAGGTTTTTAATCGGATTAATTTCCACCCGGTTTTCCCGTGTGACTTACCAAAGTGTGCATCTTTCTTTCGAGGGTTAACCCTGATCCATCTAATCGATTTAGCACAAAACTAGTCAACAATCCAGGAAACAACTTTCAGAATTTCAACATGTGGAAGTTGCGTGAACATCTCCTTGATATCGTACGTGCGGGCGACGATACCAAGTTTTTCATTCTCCACCTCAGGTCTTTTGTTAATCTTAGCGATCTCATTCTTTAATGCATCCATGAAACTCAAGTTAAAATGCGGTTCTTTTATTTTCCGTATCTGTTCATTAAGAGCAGTGGACAAACAACCTGGCGCTGCCCTAAATGGACTGAGATAAGATGGAATGATGGGCCTCTTTTTGCATTTATCTTTTTCTTTGGAAAGGATATATGCATGTTGCAGGTCACAATTGTCATCCCACCTCCCAATTTGGAGAAGCCCTGGGGTTTTATATTCTTTTTCCATTGCCAGCAAAACATCTCGCTTTTTAGTTGGCAGGGTTTCATTATTCTCATTCTTTAAGAACATCTTCTTCAGGCTTGCCTCATATGATATGGAACATTCAAACCAGGTCTCGCTTGTGTTTCGATCTAAGGGAGATAGAACCAAGCCATCAAGTGTTTGTTGCACCCCTTTAACGTATTCGCTCAGAACACATCCTTCTTGCATTTTTTCACCAGGTCGCGACACTCGCCAATAATCAATGCGCAACTCCGAGCTGACCAGGCCCATTGTTCGCAGTCCATCGAGAGCGTTATTGCAGGCAACATCAATCACATTTTGGTTTGCTATAGAACTAGGAAAAGGAACGCTCTTAGCATTAAACAAGAACGGATGTACACCAACCACTTCACTTAGTTTCACCGCAACATGCCCGTTAATTTTGGGCAAGTCAAAGTCAGCACAAACACAGTAAAAACTGGATTGTCGTGCATACGACTTGTGGTTATGCAACAGATCCCCGACTGATTTAGCTCTGAGCTAGATAGTCTTGGTTGTCTTCGCATACAGGTTACCCAATGATTGTGGCCAGACGTTATCCAAAATCCAATTCTTCACTTCAGTCTCAACTTCCCTTTTATCGATAGTAGTACAAAATGATAATTTAAAAGTCACCTTTACCTGAGGGTTAATTCCAAATTTCTTTCTTGAAAACATTCGTGAGAACGCCGAGAATAATTTGCCTGCCACGATGCCGATTAACAGTTTTTACTGCGTTATTTAATTCAATTAATTCGTTTAAATCCCGTTTATACAAATCCCGAAGCTTCCAAGGAGCTCAGAGTAGTGCTATAAGTTCATGCTTCAGTAAATCGGTTTTTGTCTTTGTACGAATGGCATCAACAATATGCATCGCACCGTCACGCTCAATGACTTTCTTCGCATCTTTCAACAACATTCTCACACCCCCAATCTCAACTTTGGAAAACCCAAAGAGTAACCTAACCAATCACCATGCCTTAAGCCATCTTTCCCCTGCGTTATTTGTGATTTTTATTCCTTGTTTAGGTCTGCGTTTCACAATGAGCTTTAAAATCTTGAGTAAGTCCGGGTCGTTTTTAATATTAACAGCAGGATAGTAAAAAAACAGGGGTTCGATAACAGAGGGTGTTTGGCGTCGGGTGTGTGGCTTCTTCTGGCCACGGGTTCTTCGTGCATTCATCCATACTTAGTGCCACGCGTATTCAAGCCAGGGTTACAATCGTTAATCACTGTTTGTTCAACAGACTCAATTGTCGATTCATTCCCAAACCAAATCGGAATCGGGACGTAATGCTTAGTACCGACCTTACGCAACCATGCATGGACTTTCTGCTTACTAGTGCTCTTCGTAGCCCTACAGTGTTCACACAAGCGGTTATCGGGTAGCTGAAAATTCAGGAATGAAAATTCTGAAGTGAGAGTTTTGGGAAGTCTGAAAATCTTGAATGGTCATGAAGTGGTAAAAGGTCCGAAGACCTTGAAAACCACCTATTTAGGCAGGTTGCATCCTGAAGTGGTGAAGGTTGTCTTGAAGTGGTCAAGTGAGAGTTTTAGGCAGTTTGAAAATCCTGAATTAGCTTGAAGTGGTGAAATATCCGAAGACCATGAAAACCACCTTCACCACTTGAGGATGCAGCCTGCCTGAACATGTGGTTTTCAGGGTCTTCGGAACTTTCACCACTTCGAGATCATTCAGGATTTTCAGACTTGAATGGTTATGAAGTGGTGAAAGGTCCGAAGACCGTGAAAACCACCTATTTAGGCAAGCTGCATCCTAAAATGGTGAAGGGTGTCCTGAAGTGGTGATGAGTGGTGATGAGAAATACGACTGTTGTTAACCTTCTCTCAGTGTTCAGTCCACCCCGTGCACGAAGTGAACCCCACTTCAGTTTCCCTTTACAGGGTCATCTGGTCCAGCGTCCTTCTCATTGGTCCCATTGGAGAAGGACGTGGTGGGTCGAAATGATTCAGCACAATGCACTGGCTTCTCCTCCTTCAATAGGTTGGCGTATTCCTGCAGGTCCAACCTTGCGAGCTCCCAAGCTCCTGCATCCTTCCGAAAATACTGTATATTCTTTTGCTTGTAGAGTTCTTGTACGTGAGTGTAATGTAACGAGCTGTAAAATTCTTGTCGCATCTTCATGTATGCGGCTAACCCTCCTTCGTCATTTTCTTCCTCTTCTTCGTCAAGAGGTTCGTTCTGCACTACATCCACGTCTTTGCCCCCCTCCTCTTCCTTACATGCTTCAACTTTTACAGGCTTCAGTGCAATGACAGGTGCCTTCCCTTTCGCGTTGCCGATCCGTTGCAGGAGGGCTGCTAACATTGTTTTGATATCCGACAATTCGCTGCTCGAATCCATCTTTGGTTGAAGATTCTGCTTCACCGTACCGCTATCTTCTTCGTCCGACGATACCACGATCCTCTTCGAGCGCGACTTGGTCTTGTTGCCCGTTCCTGTGCGGGACTTCACACGGTTCACACGAGGTGAGTTGGCTACTGGGGTGCATTCCCCTCCTCTCTTCCTCTTCTTATTACTAGCCGAATCTTTACTTCCTTTCTCTAACTGAACCTTCGCCTCGCGCAGCCTGATGAGTTCATCCTTCTCAGCTATCGCAAGCTTAGCTCTGTGATCCACCTTCCGGAGCTTCTCCGTGATTAACTTCAGTGAGTCGCCAAGTGTCGTCGTCACCCAAGCTTTCATCTCATCACTCTTATCGGCAGACCGCACCTTGTCAGCAGATCGCACTTCAGATCTGCTGCCTTCATTAGGCAGGCCCCAATTTCGCAAGCCTCCACGTCTCCCACTGGCGATCTTCTTCCGGGCGTCTTCAACAACTTTATTCAACTTAATGTCCTCTAGAATATTCATATACTCTTTCGTGAAGTACGCCCGATTCCCTGGGCCGGGGAAGGCATTCGCAGTTGGGCCCTTCCTGGTATTGCTTCCATTCCCTGTACTGTGTGGAACTGTTGCTTGCTGACTCGAAGGTTGTTGGTGCGCCTTATTGCTCTGCTGCTGATTGCTTACAGGCTGCAGATTGGGAGGCTGTCCCACCCACTGCCCATTCACCGGCCATTGGCCAGTGTTCTACCATGGTGGCATACTCCACGGGTTAACTGTCGGGGCGACCGCCTGGTACTGCACTGGAGTTGGAGGCGCCATGTTCGGAACTGTAGTCGGCCCCATAACAGACATTCCAGCTGGTGCCTGGAATGTGGTGGTGAACTGTGTCGGGTTCACACCCAGTGGATATACGTTCGTCGCAGGACTGCTCCCGCTGTACTGGACTGGATTCGTAGCAGCTGGTTGTCCTCCACCAGGATTCACACTGTTGCCCTCCATCCAATAACATCCACAGTTAGACCAGCGGCCCCGTCGCCCGCCTGCTTTACCTCTCCCTCGCCCAGACATACGATACAGTGCTATTCCGAGCGCTAATCCGCACCCAAGGCTACAACCAATGGCCCAACTCCCTTCGGTTCTACTAGTAAAGCGATATTCACTCCACCACGCCCAAAACAACATGCCCTGTATGTTTACCCTCCTCTTGCGACCGGCTCGCCACGTTGCCTCGTTGTTCCCGTGCGTCGGAACTTCTCTTGTCCCGATCTTCGCCTAGAGGCGTCTTCAACTTGCAGTCTCGTTCGGTTCAAGCAGTCTTGGTCGCACAAGCCGCTGCGCCCCCTCCTTCGTAACGCTACCGGTGATCAGCGAACTGACTGGTACCGGTATGCCGATATGAAGGCATAGGATCGAAGGCGCCAAATGTCATACGGTGTTCCGTAGTTAATCGAATGGTCGGCTCCACTAATGATTGGTGGTGTATCCGCCTCATGAGCGGTATACCATATCAGCACCACGAGAGGTACGAGTGACAATCATCGGCATCCAGTGGATGGATTTGAAAGAGAGAAAACCGTCATGCATTCAAGAGATACTGAAAGGAGAAGCAAAATAGTGAAACCGTATCGCGATATCCAAGAGCCGAAGGACAAGAGTGGAAACATAATTATGACAAGATTACAGCGAAAATATTGAAAACTCGTCTTTAAATCATCGAAGAATCATAAGAATTATTAAGAGGTCGAAAATTCATACACTCGAAAGTCGAACAATCGAACAATCGAATAATCAACAAACGACTGATAAGCACTATTTCACACTCGTGACTTTTCAGAAAAGTGAAAGAAGATTCAGCGAGGAGAGATCGGCGCCGTAGGCTCGTTAAGCCACGACAAGGTCGAGTCTAGGGTTCTAGATCATCAGAAAACAATTGAACTCAAAATGAAGAAGATGACATGAGTTTTACTATCATGGCGAAATCAACTTCTCTGCGACATCACCCTGATCTCACACCGCCAGGGTTCTCAACCCTTGTACTCATCCGCCACTCAGATTGAGGTAAGAAACTACTGCAATAGCTCATACTTTATACCCTATGAATCCTATTGTTCTATCCCCATACGAGTTTCAAAGCAATTTAAAAAAACATAATAGTAATAATATCACTACTTAAAAGCCAGGAGAACGGGGATCTAACCTGATTCATATTCTTGCCGCGTTACTGTGCAGCAAACCACTCGACCTTTCATAGCCTGAAATGGATAAGGCTTGTTTCCACGCCAGGTTCCGATGCACTCGTCTATTCGTAACCTCGAAAAAAATGGATTGGGCTTGTTTCCAAGCCAGGTTCCGATAAACTCACGGCCATGGCTGTTCACGCGATCGGAATGCATTTCTCGAGATAGATCACCCTCTCAGGATCAAAATCTTACTTCTTTTCGACTCGGCGCAGGCCGAATCCGATCGGTCGAAAATAACCACTGTGGCTTTTTAACCTCACGCAACACAAATCGCGCCATTCTCTTTCACCTGTACTTGGTCATGAACCGAGGACACTTACTTTACGGAATAACTGAATCCTACTCAGTGTTCATCACCGACTCATAAAATCTTACTACTTTGTCCGTCTTGACTCGGTATATGTCGAGTTCAAACAGAGAAAAAAAACATCCACTGTAGATTTAACTTTAAGCTTCTTAGAACGTGCCGTCTTTGTCGTTCAGGTAAATGACCTGTTTCCCTGTATTTACTGTACTCGGACTTGAAAAGGCCCTTAATGCATTAACTTCCAGAATGGACGAATCGTGCCGCCTCAAGCATTTCTTGCCAGAAGATTGATTTGGTCCTACGTTGCATCCATTGCAGTCCCGCAATTACCACCTTCCTTGGGTAATTGCTCTTTTTAAGTTCTTCGCACAACGTGAGGATCTTACAGCATGTAAGTCCATTCGTATTTGAGTTCTGCGCAATGCGCAGGATCACGTTCACAATAATGACGAATTTGCTCGTACGGGGCCCATATGAAGAAAAGTCTTTGTACGTCCGAAATTGGAGTGGCGTGTTGTCCCATATTGTCCCCGCGTTTTTTAACTTATGGGACATCAGCATGGTCTTCGCCCCACATACCAACAGACTGGTTTCAAGGAAGTCCAAAACGCCGCTACCCAAGTCCATACATTCGAGTATTAGTCCCTCTGGATAGGAGAGCGTCACCTTATCGAGTACCTTTTCAGTTCTAGGCTGCTCATCCTTTCGAAATAGTGCAATAACCAATAAATCGTCAATGTATCTTTTTCCCATAACTATTCTTTGGTCCGCATCCAGAGACCTAAAAAACTGGTTCTTAGCTAACATGCACATCACACATGCTAACGGTGGACTTACCCTGCCCCCCGTGGGAATTCCCTTCTTCCGACGTAGCACAATATTGGCTACGCAAAAGTAGATGTTGTTTAGTAGAAATTCGGTTAGCGTGACCAAGGTTTTTAATCAGATTAATTTCCACCCGGTTTTCCCGTGTGACTTACCAAAGTATGCATCTTTCTTTCGAGGGTTAACCCTGATCCATCTAATCGATTTAGCACAAAACCAATCAACAATCCAGGAAACAACTTTCAAAATTTCAGCATGTGGAAGTTGCGTGAACATCTCCTTGATATCGTACATGTGGACGACGATACCAAGTTTTTCATTCTTCACCTCAGGTCTTTTGTTAATCTTAGCGATCTCATTCTTTAATGCATCCATGAAACTTTAGTTAAAATGCGGTTCGTTTATTTTCCGTATCAGTTCATTAAGAGTAGTGGACATACAACCTGACGCTGCCCTAAATGGACTGAGATAAGATGGAATGATGGGCCGCTTTTTGCATTTATCTTTTTCTTTGGAAAGGATATATGCATGTTGCAGGTCATCATTGCCATCCCAACCCCGAATTTGGTGAAGCCCTGCGGTTTTATATTTTTTTTCCATTGCGAGCAAAACACCTTGCTTTTCAGTTAGCAGGGTTTCATAGTTCTCATTCTTTAAGAACATCTTCTTCAGGCCTGCCTCATATGATATGGGACATTCAAGCCAGGTCTCGCTTGTGTTTCGATCGAGCGGAGATCGAACCAAGCCATCAAGTGTTTTTTGCACGTCTTTAACGTATTCGCTCAGAACGCATCCTTCTTGCATTTTTTCACCAGGTCGCGACACTCGCAAATAATCAATGCGCAGCTCCGAGCTGACCAGGCCCATTATTTGCAGTCCATCGAGAGCGTTATTGCAAGCAACATCAATCACATTTTGGTTTGCTATAGAACTAGGAAAAGGGACGTTCTTAGCATTAAACAAGAACGGATGTACACCAGCCACTTCACTGAGTTTCACCGCAGCATGCTCGTTAATTTTGGGCAAATCAAAGTCAGCACAAACACAGTAAAAACTGGATTGTCGTGCATACGACTTGTGGTTATGCAACAGATCCCCGACTGATTTAGCTCTGAGCCATACAGTCTTGGTTCTCTTCGCATACAGGTTACCCAATGATTGCGGTCGGATGTTATCCACAATCTATATCTTTACTTCAATCTCAACCTCCCTTTTATCGATAGTAGTACAAATTGGTAAGTTAACAGTCACCTTTACCTGAGGGTTAATTCCAAATTTCTTCTTGAAAACATTCGTGAGAACGCTGCGAATAATTTGCCTGCCACGATGCTGATTAACAGTTTTTACTGCGTTATTTAATTCAATTAATTCATTTAAATCCCGTTTATACAAATCCCGACACTTCCAAGGAGCTTTGAGTAATGTTATGAGTTCATGCTTTAGTAAGTCGGTTTTTATCTTTGTACGAATTACATCAACAATACGCATCGCACTGTCACGCTCAATGCCTTTCTTCGCATCCTTCAACAACATTCTCACACCGCCAATCTCAACTTTGAATCTCAACTTTGGAAAACCCAAAGAGTAACCCAACCAATCGCCATGCCTTAAGCTATTTTCCACCTGCGTTATTTGTGGTTTTTATTCCTTGTTTAGCTCTGCGTTTCATAATGAGCTTTAAAATCTTGAGTAAGTCCGGGTCGTGTTTAATATTAACAGCAGGACAGTAAAAAAACAGGGGTTCGATAAGAGAGGGTGTTTGGCGTCGGGTGTGTGGCTTCTTCTGGCCACGGGTTCTTCGTGCATTCTTCCCACGCTTAGTGCCACGCGCATTTAAGTCAGGGTTACAATCGTTAATCACTGTTTGTTCAACAAAATCAATCGTCGATCCATTCCCAAACCAAATCAGAATTGGGACGTAAGGCTCAGTACCGACCTTACGCAACCATGCATAAACTTTCTTGTTACTAGTGCTCTTTGTAACCCTACAGTGTCCAGTCCACCGTACATGTAGTGACCTGATGGTCTTTCCTACATACACAACCTTATGAAGTAATGACATGAGCACATAAAGATACTTTCGTCCATTAACCAGCTTTTCTCATTTGTTGCTAGGTAGCCTAAGCCAGAATCGAAAGCAGGCGAGAGAAGGTTAACAACTCGTAATATTTTCAGGTCCTTTTTCAGCTCCCCATAGTATGCCCATCCAAACATTTGGACGGGGGAACCTGAAACCACTTTCAGAAGCGTCAGCCACTTCAGATCATTTTAGAGGTTCGAGGTTTCTCCATCTGAAACTCCTGCAATGATATGAAGTGGCTGAAAATATGAAAGCAGTTTCAGGTCCCCCCATCCAAGCATTTGGACGAGGGGACCTGAAACCTCTTTGAGAAGCTTCTGCGACTTCAAATAATTTCAGAGGTTTCTGGTCTCCCCACTTGAAACTCCTGAAATGATATAAAATCGCTGAAAATCTGAAAGCGGTTTCAGAAACCCCCATCCAACCATCTGGATGGGGGGACCTGAAACCACCTTCAGAAGCTTCAGCCACTTCAGATCATTTTAGAGGTTTCAGGTCTCTCCATCTGAAACTCCTGAAATAATATGAAGTGGCTGGAGCTTCTGAAAGCGGTTTCATGTCCCCCCATCCAAGCATTTGGACAATGGGACCTGAAACTGTTTTCAGAAGCTTCAGCCACTTCATATCATTTCAGAGGTTTCAGGTCTCCCCAACCGAAACTCCTAAAATGATCTG